TTTTTTTTTTTTTTTTTTTGTACTTTGTTTCTGTACTGGGGATCAAACTCAGGACCTTGTGCTTGTGAGGCAGACATGGCGCCACTGAGCTAAATCCCTGGCCCCTTTTTTGGTATTTTTGAGACAGGGTCTCACTTTCTAGTGCAGGCTGGCTTTGACCTCAATCTGTAGCCTAGGGTGGCCTTGAACTCATGTTCATCCTCCTGCCTGAGCCTCCCAAGTGCTAGAATTACAAGTGTGCATCACCACGCCTGGCTTATTGGTTGATTTCTTTATAATAGCCATTCTTCCTGGAATGAGATGGAATCTTAGTGTTAATTTGCATTTCTTGAATGGCCAGCAATGTTGCACATTTTTTCGTGTACTTATTTGCTGTCTGTACTTCAAAGAAGTGTTTATACTTTTCAGATGGCCATGTTTTGATTGGATTACTTTGCGGGTAGTCTCAGAACTTCTTGAAACTCCGCATCTCTTTTCATTCCCCTAAGTGATTACTCCTTTTGTAGAAACAAGGGATAATTGAGCACATCTGAGGGCACTATATCTACAGGACTAGCTCTGCAAAGCTGTCTAGCAATGAACAAGAGAGGAGGTGACACAATTCATCTGTGTAGGGCGGAGTGGGAGCTCACACAGAGGTTCCATTTTATCAGGGTGTCTGGGATATTCCCACTTCCCTGAGAAGAAAGTGCAGCTCTGTCTCCACCCCTAAGCGGCCAGCCAGGTTCTCCTTTGGGGGGATGGAGGCGGGGAAGGGGGGATGCGGGAGGTGTCAGACGCCAGTTCTCAATGGTGAGTCTTCAAACTAAGGAGGGGCCGAAGTCCTGGCAAGGCAACGTACTGTTCTTTTTTTCCCGTCTTCTCGCTTACCTAGACCAGAATTGACAAACAGACCACAGCCCAGGCAGCAGTGAAGGAACCACACGTCACACAAGGCTCAGCAGGAATCGTTTCCCCAGGTCCAGCAAACTACCCAGACCACAATGCCTCGGGGCTCCGAGCCAATGGGCTTCTTCTTGCTGCGCAAACGCAGTGGCCCTCAGTTCCCAGGGAGCCACGGGCGGGCGTCCGCCGTGGAAGACAGCAAGTTCCAGCGGAGGGGCCCAGCATCCTCTGCGGGCAAGATGGTCGCGCGGACGTGAGCTGCGCCTAGGTCTGGCGCCCGGCCGGAGAACCTCGAGTCCCTCGCCGACAAATGCAGGTGAGCTTGCCCGCGGTGGCCATGGGGTCGTCCTGAGAGAGCCTGTGTCCTGACACCACCCAGAAGCTTGCCGCCCTGGGCTGGAACTTCCGACCAGGCTGAGAGCAGGTCCTTCGGTTGTGGCCGGCGCGGCCTGACGCTCTATGCCTGCGTGCACGGGGAAGCCGGGCCTCGCCCAGGGCCGTCACCTTTGCTGGTTGCTGTGCGCTGTCACCTTGAAGCTCTGGTAAGGAGGGGAAGGGAGTGCCCAGCTCGGGGACCGCGGAGGTGGGGGCCCTGTTTTCTGGGTTCTAACTTTTGCCCCACCCACTGCAGCCAAGCAGAGGCTCCCGTTCGGGAGGAGAAGCTGTCGGGTGAGTGATTTTTCTAGGAATCTTACTCCTCCATAATTTTTTGTATTTAATCTCCCCCGTACACGAAGGGCACGAGAGAGGGCGGCACCGCGTGGTGGGGGCGCTGCTTGAGAAAGCGGTGGCTGTTGTTGGAAGAAGTGTTTTCTGAACGGGCCGCGGGCGCGCGGTGGCATTTTTCTCCTCATTTAGTGAGCACCTCTACTTTGCCGTGCTGGCTGGTGGAAGAGTTCGTGGTGGCAGAAGAGTGCACTCTGTGTTCTACTTTCCAGGCTGTAGGTACCTGCTTTCTCCCCCTTTTACCCACATGAAACCATTCCACAAGTGCCGTTAAGCATGCCCTTGCATCGGCTTTGTCCTTGCAGTCTTAGTGGATGTCCAGATACGAACTTGTTCCCCCACCCCACGAAAATATGCGTCATTTCCATGTTCTACTCATTCACGATTTAGTGGGCTCTGGAATTTGTCCTTATCTCTCCTAATCTCCTGCCCTTTCTTTCCAGCACGTGTCTAATCAGGCAACCATCGCTTCCCCTGTCCACATCAGAACTCTCTGGCCATGCATTTGGGGACCTGCTACTTCTGAACAGCAGCCCCTCTGCTCCTGCTTCCTCTTAACACATGCTTTGGTTCTTCTCTGTTGACAGAAAACCATAGCTGAGTGTGGTTCCACAGGATACATAGAAAAAATCACATGCAGTGCATCTAAGAGGAATGAGGTCAAAAGGTAAGGATTGTTTCTCTTCTTTGAAACGACTTCCTTTGATCATGATTTAAGTAAACAGTTTCACCTCTTCCTCTGATCTAAGGGCGGCACTATGCTTTGGAAAGGTGTCTGTTTTTTTTTTTTTTTGCTACTGGGATCGAACTCAGGACCTTGTGCTTGTAAGGCAGATGGTGGAACCACTGAGCTAAATCCCTGGCCTGATGGTTTTTTGTTTCTTGAGACGAGGTGTTGCTGTAAATAGTTCAAAGTGGACTCAAATCAAAGCAATCCTCTTGCCTCAGCCTCCCAAGTGCTAAGATCACAGATGTGCACCACCAGACGAAGCCAACTTACTTAAATCCAAGTCCTAACTATACTCCTTAGCACAGTCATTGGCCACATTTTCTCATCAATAAAACTGATTAATGTTGGCTCACCAAGGACTGTAAGTACATTATAGGGCTGACTTCTCTTTAGAAGGGAGATTAGAAAGAGCAGCTGTCTTGTCTTCCCTGGGAATAACTGTTCCTTCCTACCCTCAGCTGCCGCTCAGCTCTGATGGAACAACACTTATTCTGGAAATTTGAAGGGGCTGTGGTGGGTGTGGCCTTGATCTTCGCTTGCCTTGTCGTCATTCGTCAGCGACAGCTGGACAGAAAGGCTCTGGAAAAGGTCCAGAAACAAATTGAATCCATTTAACTACACCACCCTTTATCCTGGGTCTTACAGATCATGTCTCAGCTGAAAAAGTGGAATGGACTAGTTTGTGCCCTTGCTTCTTTGGAGTCTGGTCATACACACTTTCCCCATCTTCCTCTTCAGATCGCTCATGAGCACAATAAAAAAAAAAAGTAATCTGCTTTGGAACAGAAGTCATGGGAGTCGTGGGAGCAGAGAGGAAAAGGGGTCACAACCTACTGAGTACCTGTCTTCTCTCCCTTTTACTGCTTAAGACTTCTGAGATGCAGTTTTAGCTAGAAAGTTTATTTTGCAGTTAAAGCTTGTATTTCCCTAGTCTGGTCATACACACTTTCCCCATCTTCCTCTTCAGATCGCTCATGAGCACAATAAAAAAAAAAAGTAATCTGCTTTGGAACAGAAGTCATGGGAGTCGTGGGAGCAGAGAGGAAAAGGGGTCACAACCTACTGAGTACCTGTCTTCTCTCCCTTTTACTGCTTAAGACTTCTGAGATGCAGTTTTAGCTAGAAAGTTTATTTTGCAGTTAAAGCTTGTATTTCCCTCAATCTCATGCCTAAAGAAGTAGTAAAATCACAGATACATGAAATATTTCAGACACCCTCTCTCATGGGAACCCTAGGCTTCAGGGTGCAGACATCTGCTAGGGCAGTTGTGGCAAGCCCATGGCACGCATGCCGCAGCCTACTGTGTGTTGAAAGTCCTCACTGTCCTAGGGTGTTCTGAAGTGATCTGAAGTAATTCGGATCCCTAAGGGAACAGAGGCATGGGAATTCCAGGCGGAAGCAGAGCCTGAGGAGCACCTTGGACTCCTGTTGTGACCGCACGGTGGGCCAGGAAGGGCTCTGCCCCAGCTCACATCTCATCTGCATGCAGCGTGGTTCTGAGGCGCCCGCTGGGTTCAGTCTTCAGGCCCGTCTTCTCTGAGTCATTCACCCTCTGGGCTCTGGGGGACTCCCCCACTTTGGACTCTGTCTCCAGAGCCTCCAGACTTCCTGACATGTCCGTGTGCATCAAGATATTTCTGGAAATCACTGAGGGGAAGGAAAAAGCACATCAGTAGAGTGCTGCCTTGGGCAGGGGCCTCACATGACAGGACCTCTCCCATTTTAGGCTCCTTTCGTTGTCTTTTTCCTGAGCTAGTCTTGCTACATTGCCTGTGCTGGTCTGGAACTCCAGGGATCAAGTCATCCTCCTGTTTGAGCCTCCTAAACGGGCGGGGCCTGAGCACACCACCACACCTGGCCTGCCCTGCTTGCCCTGTGCAGTCGCCCTCACCAGCGGAGCCCCCTTGCCTCTCACCTCCATGGGGCTGGTATTCCTCAGGCCCAGTTTCTGGTAGACCCTGAAAGGGGCTGAAGCTGGGCAGGACAATGAGAGCCAGAGAAAAGAGAAGGATCTGGAAGAAACCAGGACACTTACACTCTGGGGACAACAAGGGAAGGGAGCAGAGGGAGTTGTTGGGAGGAAGATAAAATCCGGGCAGGCGGGGGGGTCAGGGAAGTGGGGAGAAGGGAAACGGGCTGGTGGTACCAGGACGCCGGTGCTGGTCTGGGCAGCTTTGCTGGAGGTCTGAGCAGTGAGCATCTGCAGCTGGCGGAGCTGTGCCAGTAGGGAGCTGGAACAGAGGGAAGGGTCGGTCACCCGGGTCCGCCGTCCTTGGGCCCTGTGGCTGCACTCCCTGCCCCAGCACTGTGCTGCTGCTCTCACGTGTTGTGCCTCTCCAGCTCCTGAACTTTTTTCTGCAGTTCCTGGTTCTGCGCAGAACAGGCTGCCACCCTATGGAAGGTGGAGAGGCAGGGCAGGCTCGGCAATCTCAGCCCCTTACCCTCCCTGCCTGGGTGAGGAAGGGGCCTGAACCCGGCTCACAGGATGCTGGAAATGGAGCTAAGGTACCTGCTCTCCAGCCCATCGATGTATTCTTTCTTCCGCCGCCGACTGTCTTGAGCAGACTGTTTATTCCGGATTTTCCTTCTGACCTTTTTGAGGACCCTCTCCTCTGCCTGAGGGACCAGGGTTTGTCAGGCTTGTAATCTCCCATGGTTTCCCACCTCTTCTTGGCTCCTGGCTCCTGAGAAGCCACAGGTGCAACCCAAGACTGGGATGGACAGCCTTCAGGGAGGAGTGTTACCTTGGTGAGGGGCAGGTGAGAGGGCAGAGCAATCCCTTCCTGCCCCAGCAGACGCTTCTCCTCGTCTGTCAGGAGCAGATTTTGGCAGGGCAGCTGCAAGGCGGGACAGGGAAAGATGAGAGGCAAGTGGGGAGCCCATTATCCACGCGTCTACCTGTCCCTGGCCTCTGGAAGGGTTCCTGTCTGCACCAGGGAATAACAGCAAGCTAGAAGTGAGCAGAAGAGATGGCTCTGTCTCTGCAACACACCCAAGGACCCTCCTGAGGCTGAGAAGGAAGAGAGCTGGGGTTTTGGTTTTGTGTTTGAGACAGACACTATGTAGTTGAGATTGGCCTGGAACTCACCACTAGCCCAGGCTGGTCTTGAACTCAAAGCGATCCTCTTGCCTCAGCCTCCCCAGTGCTGGGATTACAGGCGCATGCCACCACGCCTGGCTGGTCTTATTTATTTTTGAGACAAGTCTCACTGTGCAATTTAGGCTGGCCTTGAATTCAGTGACCCTCCTGCCTCAGCCTCCTGAGTGCTGAGGTCACAGGTGTGCACCACCACGCCCAGCTTTGGAATCCTTTCTATTTATTTTATTTTTTATTTTGGAATCCTTTTATTTTTATTTATTTACAACCTTCTAAATTGCCCAGGCTGGCCCAGAACTTGCAATCCTCCTGCTTCAGTCTCCAAACTAGCTAGGATTGCAAGTGTGAGCCACCATGCCCATCTCCTTTTTGATTTATGTTTTACTTTGTGCCCAGCTTGGGCGACTCAGTGTCTTACCCTGTCAAAGAAAGAAAGTAGGTGCAGGGATTTGGCTCAGTGGTTCCACCACCTGCCTCACAAGCACAATGGCCCAAGTTTGATCCCGGGTACCAAAAAAAAAAAGGGGGAGGAAGAAATAACTGGAGACACAGCTCAGTAGGAAGGCCCTGGGTATTTTTTTTAGCTTTGGTTGGCATTTGGCTAAACCATTTCCTGTTGTTTCCTTCTTGTTCCTGCAACTGTTTGGTGGAACAATTCTGGGATGTTTCTTCCAATCTAATAAAAATGTCTACAAATAGGGCTGTTTTATCTAAAACAAACATACACGTATAAATGTCTTGGTATTCTGATGCCCACCTACATTTTTTTTTGTTTTGTTTTGTGGGTCTCAAAAGTAGGCTTTTAAGCAGTTCAAGCTGGCCTTAAACTCACTGTGTAGCTCAGGCTGGCCTCAGATTCCCCGTAATCCTCCTCCTCAGCTTTCCAAGTGATGGGATCACTGGTGTGCACCACTATCCTGACAAAAGTACCCATTTTTTAAATTCCTTCAGCCTGAGATTCTAAGATGCTTAGCTGGGTTTCTGGTCCCAGCTTCAACCACATTTTTTTTTTTTTTTTTTTTTTTTGTCCAGGTGCACCTCGGTGC